AAATAGACAAAATTCCATGCTGTCCTTAAGTGGGGAGAGAGAATAAAGTGAAATACTGCATGGGGCGGTAAGACATAGTACAGGGGGAAAGCAAGGGAGGGGACAGGGAGACTGTGACGGGGCCGGCACTGACGTGGCTCGGACAGCAGCTCTGCTGCGGGTGCCAGGGAAGGCCTGGCTGGCACGTTGGAGCCCTCTGGTGTGATAGGCCGGAGGGCGAGGGCTCACTTGGGAGCCTGGGCTTCCTGGGCCCTGACTTAAACAGGGATGAAGGGCTCCTTCTGGTGAAATCATTCTGATGGTCTCAAGGCAGCTGTTTTGGGAGTGGATTTCTGGTCAGAAGCACACACCTTTCTGGGGCCTTGTTCATTCATTACTCCTGCTGATCAAGGTGCGGATATCAGGGTGAGGCTTTGGGCTTGCTCTTTTCTCTCGTCACGGGAAGCATAGAACCTGGCAGAAAGCTGGTCTTACGCACTTTAGTCCAGACTGCGGGAATTTTCACTGCGCACCAGACCTCCCTCTTTTCCTTCAATACATGGCCTGATTGTGGGCGGGCGGTAACACCCTGTCCTGCTTTCCATCCACAGCCTCAGTGGGTTGGGCCGCAACATCATCCTCACCACCATGCCAGCAGGTACTAAGCTCATTGCTGGCAACAAGCCTGTGAGTTTTCTCACTGCCCAGCAGTTGCAGCAGCTTCAGCAACAAGGTCAGGCCACACAGGTAAGGTCCAAAGCGAACTGCTGGCCATACCATGTTTCTCTTTTTCCTTTGCTGTTTGTCCTCAGCCGATGAGCCTGTTGGCAATCTGCTGATGAGATGCTCTGTTTGCAAACAGGTGCGCATCCAGACTGTCCCCGCGTCCCATCTTCAGCAGGGAACAGCTTCTAATTCCTCCAAAGCCGTCTCCACCGTTGTTGTGACCACAGCTCCATCTCCTAAGCAGGCACCTGAACAACAGTGATTCTGGGAGAAAGATGGCTTCCCTAAACGCCCGTACCGGGTCTGCCCTGCTGCTGAAGGGAAGGAGCGGGAGGTCCAACCCTCCTCTAAGCTTACCTGTCCAAGGGCAGCCAGTGGTGGGATAATGGCAGCAGTGGCTGGGATTCTGCGGCCACATTCCACGTGGGGGACACTGGCTAAGGTTCTCTCCAGGTCTGTTCTGTACTGGTCCAGGAGAAGCCGCTCTTCAAACTTGTGTGAAGTCACAGTTGTCACACAAGCCAAAGTTCTCTCCTGAGAGCAGGGTGCTGAGGGAGGGCTTGCAATACGGAGTGCAGGCGGTGAGTAAGCCTCATGATGTATGTGGTTTTTATGTTTTAACTTGTGGTCTTCTCCGTGACTCATGGTCTGGATAGGAGTTTTGTGTCCATAAATTTTATGTAACTTATTTTTTTAAAACTGATTATTCTTTTGACCAGAATGTGAGACTAGCAAGATTCTTCTAAGTTGGTGGCTGACTTGATAACTACGTAGTAATGGAGAGGCTCTGAGATGGGAAAGAAACATCGGAAGTGGGATTAGGTGGGTTCCCTGAAACGGGGCTAGTTTGGCACTACCTCTTAAAGGTGGGGTATCAGGGTCCTGACGGTGGTCTGCGTCCTCACCTGCTGCCTGTCCTCCTCTTCAAGCCCGTTCACACTCAAGTCCATTGCCAGTGGGTACCGTGGGTGAAGTGCTGTGGAAATACTGCTTTTGCAGCACACACTTTATTTCAGTTCGGAGATGATACATTGTGCTTTGTTCCAGAAGAAGAGTCAGCAAACGACAGCCCTTGGGCTGGCTACCCATTTTTGTAAATAAAGTTTTATTGAAACACAGCCCATGCCCACTTGTTTATGTATTATCTATGGCTTCTTTCAATCTGAAGGCAGAAATGAACAAATGCCATGGAGACTATATGGCCCTCCAGCCTAAAATACTTTTTATATGGTTCTTTAAAACTTGGCTGACTTTTATTCCAAAGTAGAGATGGCAGGAAGAGAGTGGGTGTCCGTACTAGACAGCGCCAACCACAAAAGCAGTCAGTCTCGATACCCAAGTGATTGAATCCTGGCTGTATCGTGTTCTGAGCCTCCATCAAGCTACGGGTGGAGAGCGTAGACAGGGACATTTTGAAGGGTCATATTTAATTAAAGCACTGGTTGTCGAGAATATATGCCTCTTTGGTTTTGGAGCAGGGGTTGGGTGGTGAAGCTTTTCTGCAGCGGCAGGGCTTCCCTACCTCGCGAAGTACCCAGCTTAGTGAAGATGTATCTTTCATCTGTAGAAGACGAGTGATGGGGTCTGAGAGGTGGAGGGAAGGAACTGGAGTGGCCTCGTGTGGAGGGGGCGCTGGCGGAAGGCGGGTCGTCAGGCAAGTTGCAGGAGAACAAGGACCTTGAGAGTGGCTTGTGGATGGCACAGAGGTTTCCTAGACATTTAATTCTAAAGCAGTTCTGTAAAATAGTTACCGCCCCTGTTTTTACGGTGAGAAAATGCAAGTTTCAGTTACGTTAAGGAGAACCAAGGTGTTAAATCCAGTCTTCTGATTCTAAGTCAAGCACTCTCTCTGCCGCCTTCCTAAGAAGACAGTGGCTGTGAGCTGTCCCACGGCGAGGCCGGGGACAGTCGAGAGCTAACAGTGGCAAGCGTGGCTCCCAGGCGCAGAGGGGAGTTGGCTGAGGGAAGAGGGGGCTTTGCGGGTGGCAGAGCTGGCACAGGGGCGAGGTCGGCAGCGGTGGGCGGAGGGGCCGCAGGGATGGACGCAGGCTGGTCTTTTACCTGCGCGAAGGGGGCTGCCTCTCTCGTTTATACTACTCTGATATTTGCATGTCATTGTTCCCTAGAGTCACATTTCACATGAAAAGGTCATGGGGACAATTTCTAAATGAGAAAAAGGGAGAAATTTGAGGAATCCTATCTCAGGTATTTACTGTTGGCTAAAATAAATTCCCTCTGAATTTACTTAACAAATGATTTCGTAGCAGTAGTTCTGACATTCAGCCCTAACCTCACCCTGCACTTGTATTTACCCAAGTCACCTGACTGCCTGTCTCCTTAGCGGCCGCAGACATCACGTCCGAGGAGGGCAGGCAGGTTTGGGGGCGCCTGTGTAGGGCTGTCTCCGGGGGAGGAGAACAGGGAGCACCATGCTGGAAACCCCGCCTGCAGCTGTGAAGTGACATCGCCAGCATTGGCGCTGCCCGGGCGTGTGCCGCGCGCCCGGGGGTGGACCGCGCACCCGGGCATGTACGGCGGGGGCTGTGTGGGGCGGGGGTGCTCCGGTGGGTGTGTGTGGGGGACATTCCAGGAGGACCTGCGGTGGCCACGGTGTCTTTGAGCCTCTGGTTGACAGAGGTTGGTAGAATTTTTCAGACCACACATCTAAGACTGGCTTTGGCGACAGCGCTGTGGTGGGTTTGTCCTTGAACCCCATGTCTCAGAGGTCCGCGCTGGGCCAGCCGCGCAGTGGAGGGGGCGTCAGAACAGGCTCTGGTGTTTTAGTTATGAGCTTCGTCCCTCCCCCTCTCACTCTGGGGAAACACTCATTTTCTGGAAGTGTTCTGCCCGCCCCTTTTAAATCAAAATGGAGAGCGCCACTTGGAAAATGAAACCGAGAGTGGGTTCCTTCTTCCCACTTCCAGTTCCTAAGGAAAGAACATGTGTTACATTAATTGCCAGTCATGAGGCCTCCAGCACTTATTGAATGAATGTTGGGTTTCTGTTCAGAAAAGTGGATTCTGAAAGGGTACTCATGGATCTCTTCTAAAAATTAAATCCATGTTTTCAAGTAGCTCTTTCTTAACCTCTGAGCTGTGACTTCAGCTCTGAAATGCCGGCTCCCCGTGGAGCTGACCTTCACTGAGTACAGCGTTTCTTCCAAAGCATGAACGGTGCTTCCTGGAAGTGACCTCTGCCGCACTTGTGTGGGGTAGCAGAGGGGAAAGCGAGAAATAAGCGTGCTTTTGAGTCCTACTGAAGACTGGTTCTGCGACTTAGAAGGCCTGTGTAACCTTAGACGAATCAACTTCTCTGAAGAACCTACTGTACTAGAGGTGGTTGTGATGAGGAACAAATGAGAGGCTACTTCAAAGTCTGAAAAAGGCCATATGAATGGACGGGGCTGTTTGGTCCTGTAAGAGCTTCCAAATTTGGCCTGACCCACTTTTATCACTTGGTAGGACTTAACGGTTCACTCCTTGTTAACTCTTTAATTGCCTTTGTGCCTGGAACGTGCTTTTTCAGTGGGGCAAGCTCCCTGCTTGTCCTCCCTCCTTGGTCTCTCGTGGCGGTTTTACTTACCCTTCTGGCACCAGTCACCCTGTCTGCTACTGCTTGCGCCTCGCTCCCACGAGACCGTGTTCCTTGCTGGACACACACTTCTCAGTCTGTACAACCATGCCAGCGCAGGTGCAAAGCAGTTGTTTAATAAATACTTGTTGAAGGAGTTAAAAAAAAAAGAAGAAGAACCAGAACCAAGACTAGAATATCAAGACTTGTGTTTCTAGTTCAAGCTTCACGACCTTTGCAGGATTCTTATCCTTTGCTTTTAGCCGTGTTTAAAGTCAGTGCCTTCCGTAACCCGGCATTTTTCTCTCTACCTCGTCCGGATTCCTGTCAGCCTCCTCTTAGGAGGAGTCAGAACATCTGATCCCAGCTCCCTGCTGGGCCACTGACTAGCCTCCTGATTTAAAAAATAAAAATCACCTTTGGCCCAACCTTGTCACTTACCAGCAGCAGTATTACAGTTTTCTAAAATTTACGATCATTTGAGAGATGTTTAACAATCTCCCAAATAGGGTTTGGTTTAACACACCAAAGCTTGTGAATTATTACTTCTGAAAAATGCATGTTAGAATTGCATCTGTAAAATAAAGACATTGTCATTCATTTACTTTCTAATGAGAAAGTACCTGTTTCTTGAGAGGAAAAGGGATAGGTTATCAAAAGCACTGAGTTTTGCTGGATTCATAACCATCCATGAGTCCACTTCCTGTTCTGAAACTTGAAGGGTCTCTGATTTCTCTTCACTCTGAGCCACAGGTGATAAAGCTCGCTCCATTTTCCTTTATGAAGGACACCACACCAACACAGACTTTAGCCAATTAAATGAGCAGGCACGAATGTGTAGCGCCGGAAGAGCAGACTAAAGCAAGCGTTACAGTGGAGGGGGCGCGCCCCGTGCCTGCTCTCACCGTTCCTGCTCCGGCGGACACGCCCAGCACCTGTTGATGACCGGTGGCCTTGGCTCATTCCTCGTCTGAGCCGCTCAGGAGGGCCTTCTGGGCAGCGGGATCTGACTTCAGCTGCTGGATCCCAATGACTTCTCCTCGGCGCCTCTTCTGCGGCGTCAGAAGGCTGTGAGAGAGAGAGGCCGTGAGACAGACGAGCCCCCAAGCTCCCTGTCCTGCTCACCCAAGACCGTGAGGGCGTCTGATGGTTCTCAAAGCATTTTCTTTATATCTCTAGCAAATGCTGCGATTGTGTATCCGACTTCTCCAACAGTATTCATTGGTAGTTAAAGAGACCATGATTAATATTTAATAGTTAATGTCGTTGAGACTAAACTTAGGTCTCCCACATCCTCTTTTATTATTTCACTGACCAGGCAGAAGAACTAAATCTGTGACCTTGAGTTGCCTCTATTTGGTCTGCGTGGGACTCTTTCCAGGGGAGGCGTGTCTGCTTTGGGCGGGGAGAGGAGGAGCCAGGGAGAAAGGTGGGCAGCCACGACAGCACAGCAGAGCTAGTGGCACCGTGTGCCAGGCGGCCCCCTCGCCCTGCGGTCCTCCCTCCTCGGTCTCTCGTGGCGGTTTTACTGGGGCTCTGTCATTTACTCCCTGGGTGACCTTGACCAGATTTAGTCTTTTGAAGCTTTGGTTTTCCACCTGTAAAACGTGACAGTGCATGCTTCACCAAGCGGCAAGGGTTAAATTGGGGGATACACCCAGTGCTTCCCACAGAGCCGGGGACAAACTAAGTGCGTAGGAATTACAGTATTGCCTTGGGAGAGTGCTTTAGAGGGCACTTGCCGCCTGTGTTACTCATTGCCACAGGGTCTCTGGCACAGGAGTACGTGACGGGCTCAGGATGAAGCGAGGACAGAGCAGGCACTGCCGCCGGTGCTCATGCCCAGTGCAGGCCGTCCCCTGCCCTCCCCCCCGCAGGCCTACAGCCCGTCGGGACCGCCCCTGCGGCCTGGCTCTCCCACAGGCCCGTGACCAGCCGGGGCCTCGGCCTTCTCAGAGCCTCATCACCCTCACTTGTAGGTGCAGAGTTCCTTGCACAGAACTTGGCATTTAGTTGGCACTGAAGGGGTAGAAGTTAGCACTACTTAGTTACAAAAGGCGGGCCACTGGATATAAAAATGATGCTATGTAATACATTTCAGGGGCCAAGGGTTGGTAAGGAAGGGGCAACCTGGCAAAAGTCGTCTTCTCTGGGACATACCAGTAGACAAAAGAGTAGCTGACAGCCACAATGCAGAGGGCAGCCAGGTAGTGCCAGCAGAAGCACATGGTGATGAACATGAGGTTTGAGTGGTCGTCCTGGTCCCATTCTTGTGCTCCGAAGGGTGGGAACAGCACAAACCCAATCTGGTGGATTATACAGAGAAGTCAGCCTTGTCTCTTGATGCTTCCTTCCTGGGGGTCACCAAAGGCGTCCAGCTGTTCCCCACCACCTCATTTCCCATACCTGCGTTAGCAGAGAGAGACCTTTCTGCACAGGAAAATGGCCGGGTTAAATCTGGTTTTAGGATAGGCTTTTTGCAAAGCAAACCTCAGGTGAACAGCTGAGCAAGTGGATCCTGTAGATGGGATTGGCACCTCCACGGGTGGGCAGATGGGGAACAGTTTAATCTGCTCACTGTGCATGTTCCATAGGTTGGGCTCGTTAATGCATCAGCAGGGCATTCATGGAGAAAGTTACACAGGTCAAGGGGCACGCGAGGTAAGGACTGCGGCCGCCTAAACCCAGCCACGTGGCATGCATGTTAGTGCTGCATGGTCAGGACTTCACCTGCACACGCTCAGTGGGGCCCCTTAACCCAGACAGCCTTAGAGCCTTCGGACAATTACCTGCCAAAACCAGGTGCCTTGCAGGATAGTGAGGGAGGTTCGGAAAAGTTCGAGCACGATGTTGTCCCGAAGAATCACCTCCAAGAAGATACTGAGAGCCCCTCCGAACACCGCACACAGCAGGAGGGAGTGGATGTACTGGTCCAGCGGCGGTCGGTTATGAACGTGGTGGTAGAAGAGAAAACCTGCCACGAAGCCGGTTACAGCCGTCAGAGGTTGGCCTGTTTCTACGTCAGAGCACTCGTTCTGGACTGTTTCCATTATTAGAATTGCCCCAAAGCCAGATTTTTCAGTACTTGAAGAGTGAGTTTATATAACATTACGGGACAACAAATAGGCAGATAAAATTTAGTCTGTGTAAAGTGGGTAAAAGCAGCAAAGGATACATCTTTGAATCTCTTTACAGAATCTGTGGTAGGGTTCAATACAGGATGGGTAGATGAAACGCCGCAGATGCATGACAAAATGTGTGTTTACTTGAAATGCAGATTTGCACGCATTCACTTTTTCCCCAGTCTTCCTGAGGTACAGAAGTAAATGACGTTGTTGGATTACAAAATGCTTTTTGCCCAGGCTGGTGTGGCTCGGTGGATTGAGCACCGGCCTGTGAACTGAAAGATCGCCAGTTCGATTCCCAGTCAGGCACACGCCTGCTTTGTGGGCCAGGTCCCCAGTAGGGGACGTGTGAGAGTCAACCAACTGATGTTTCTCTCCCTCTCTTTCTCTCTAAAAATAAATAAAATCTTTTTTAAAATCATAAAATATAAGTCTTTTTTTAAAAAAAATGCTTTTTTGTGACCCATTTAATAACGCATTGTATTGGGAGATCTGTCCTAGCCTCTGGGTGGGTCTGCTATTTGTGATGGAGTCCATTGGCAACATTCCAGGCTGGGGGTGGAGTGTGGAGTTTCTCTTCCCTAACCACAGGGAGTCAGTACTTCCGCACCATGGCGCTCACCCAGTCTCTAGACAGTGGAGTGTTTGTGGGTGGGCGCACATGCACTCACAGTGCAGGAGCGGGGGAGGGTGTGGGCCGGAGGCGGGCAGGAGAGCTTGTGCACCAGTAGCTGGTGACTTTGCCTAAAAGCCAGTGCTTTCACGTGCTGCTTCATGGAATATGTCCCCTGTACTATCCAGAGGACAGAACTAAGCCTGCTCAAGGTGAGGTGAAGAGACTGGGATTTTCCTGGGGCAGGTTAGTATATTTGCAATAGTTCTGGTCTACGGTGCCCCAATCCCTCATAATCACAACTTGCCAGTTTCTTCCTTTTTTCCATCCTTACCACTGAGTTACCTTCATTGAATGTTGCCACCGCCATAACCAGTCTGTCAACCCCCAAGGGAACATGGCTGAAGAGGTGGGTGAGCATATCAGTGACTCCCGAGATGGCAAAGAATAGATACATGGTGCTGTGTTGCCAGTTCATTAACTTTATCCAGTTGTTTTCCGCGTACAGGTGGAGGTGGGGCCCATCTGGAACAAACTGCTCTGCCAGGATCCCTGCAGGGAAATGAGAATGGAAATTGAGGAAGGAAGAGTCTCTCTAAGGCAAACAGGCTACAGCAAAAAATAGCCCCGAGTCACGGACGAAGGGAAGTCCTGCAGGAGGGCGCCCCGTGTTCAGTGGGCCTCTCCTCCAGCACAAAGTGAGGAGTTTGCTGAGGAACCAGTATAGACATTTTGCCTCTGTTGCTGCTGTTTCTTGGACAGGGGCCCATGAGAGGAGGAGGAGGAGAAGCAGCAGAAATGTAGCCACACAGGTTCACAGGACACCTGTCTAGTAGCTGAGATGACAGTAAGGTATTGTCACCTAAGGGAGAGTGTGGCAGGTAACTTCACCTTTGGGCTCTCTCACCAAGTGAGCGGTAAAAGAAATCCTAGAGGAAAACGATTAGGTTGAAAATGACAGGGTCCAAGCCAACAGACACCGGGGTGAGGGTCCCTGGGCGCACCTGGGGGGGAAGTGGCTCCCAGGTGTGCTGCGCCCGGGGCAGACCTCCCGGGAGCGCCCTTCCCAGGTTCTGCCTGGGCTCCGTGGGCTTGGCTGCTCCCTTAGCTTCCGGTCTCGGTGTCCGAAGCACTTGACCTTGGCATTTCTGGCCAAACTGTGTCTTAGGAAAGGCAAACTTCAGAGACGGGCCAGAAGGTGGGTAACACTGCGCCACAGTGGGGGGCTCGGTTCTCATCCCTTCTCTCGTCACCTGTTGGGGCAGCAGCAGATTTGCCTTTATGCCTGGTGCCCAACATGTTCATGACAACATTCTGGCTTCTGCTCCCCAGACCTTTCCCCTCAGACCCCGCCCCTTTCTGAATTTATGTGTGAAGGATCGAGTTGGTGAAAATGACCCAGGAAGGGGAGGTCCCGGGGACGTGTGAATGGCAGTCCTGTGAGGGCGGAGACCGTTCAGTCCCCCACTGTAGCCTCACTGTCTACAACAGGGAGTTCCTGGCACCTGGTGGGAATTCAAGAAATAATTGGTGAATGAGTATTATTTTCACCCAAATGCAATTCTTCCAACTTTTCTTCAGCCAAGTTGGTGCCGTTTTTACCATCTCGGCCACATAGTCCCTGTCACTGCTCAGCTCCAGAAAAAGGAGAAAGCCTTTCTGAGGCCCGAATGGCTGGTGCCTGGGAAAACCCAGCCGGACCGGGCAAGCCCAGCCACGTGCCTTGGCCGGCTGCAGGAGGAGCTGCCCTTCCTGCTGCCGCTCCTCCCAGGAACCCGGGGGCCAGAGATGGTAAGTGGCAAATGCGCTTACAGAGTAAGACCCCTCCTTGGTACTAGTCATTCTTTGAGGGCCCCCGGTAGAGGGGACCGATGACAAATGGAGGTGGGTGGATTTTCTTGGAATGGGGCAGAGTAGAGGGTCCCTCCCAAACGGCCCTCTGGGGGCTCCTTTGTCTCTCCCACCACCTCTCTCACAAGCCTGGCGGCATAGACTCCCCGCTCTCTACTCGCTTGAGACTTGGACATGGAGGATATGCCCATGAGTGGGGGTTTGCTCTGGAGATTCTAGTGGAGAAACAGTTGGGGGGGGTGGGATGATTTTCCTCAAACTACTAAACCATTTCGTACTTTCTCCTAACTCATGTGCATGAGCTTACTGTAACTTGTTCTTCTTTTCTGTTGTTTTGTCTTTTTCATAAAGTATGTCTTCTGTTCCTACAACCTATACCCACGCCCCCCTAGGGCCGAGATTGCAATTTATTAAGTAGCTCTTCACAGTGCACTAAGACGGAAAGCGCATCAACTGTTAATGTTACAAAGCTCAGTACACAGCTGAAAATCCTTTTTCTATCATCTCCACCAGTGGAAACTCCTATTTCACAGGGCCCAAAAAATGGTTTGAAGTTTCTGGATATGATGGGGAGACCCCCTGGACCAGGTGACCCCCTTTCTTACCAATGACCGGAAATAAGGTTCTGATTGCGGCCTCAATGATCTCGAGACGCTGATAATGATGAATCAGCAGGCTCCTCTTCCCCTTTTGGTGAAAGTACTTCAGAGGGTACTTCACTGACCACCACAGTCCAACTATCAGGAACAGGCTCCCTGGGAGGGCGTGGCCCTTGAAGTTTGCCATCGGGGTTCTAGGACACCTGGAAAAGAGGGGCGGCTGTTAGGGAGCCGAGTGGAAAAACGAATGGATATCGTGGCCGGAAATGCAACATGTGACTGAGGACGCCAAGTCAGAGGCCCTCCGAAGAAGGCTGCGCTCGTTCCATTGAACTCAGTCTCTGCTGCGTCAGTTACCGCAGGCTTGTCTGCGGAGCGAGTCACCTGCCCACGCGATGCCGCTGCCCTGAGGCTTTGAAAACCTGGGTACATAAAAGGAGGAAAAACTGGGAGATAGGTAAACACTGCTGTCAGGGTAGAAACGCCTTCCTAAACACAAAGGAAGGAACTAGAAAAGGAAACTGTCCACCGGCACTGGCATTTTCTAGATCAAAAACATCAGAAGGCAAACAGCAACGCTACGATCAATGGGTATTTGCATTGAGAAGCGGAGCTGGTGCCTTGAAATAAGAATATGCATATTATGACCTGGTGAATGGGGAGAACGAACAGCCACACAGCTGGCAGGGAGCTCCCTTGGCGTCCAAGCTCCGACCTTGGGGAAGTGAAAACCACGCATCCTTTTGATCGAAGGCAGAGTTTCAATATTGCACACAGGGGCAGTAGCTTCACAGGTTTATTGCTTCAGACAGGCCCCAGAAAGAGGGATGGGACTGGGGAGAGGGCAATGAGCTGGGAGGGGCAGCCTTCCATGCCAGGTCACCAGGAGCACCAGGAGCAACAGAGGGCAAGGTCGCAAGCACCTATCAGCTTTAGGGTGGTGGGTGGAGACCACTACCTTTGTGAGGGCCTAACTCTTACGTGGCTATTTTAAAAGGTAGCTTGGGAAAAGTGGAGCTGGAACTTAAATGTCCAGACCCGGCGTGGGCAGAGTTGTCATCCGTGAAGTGTAGGCGGCAATGTTCCCTTACCTTAGGGAGCCTTTACAAATATGGAAAGAGACCACAGAAGCCGGAGCGACGGCGTGAACACAAGTCACAAATAATGCAAATTGGTAATAAATCTCACTATAATTAAAGACAGCCAAAGGAATGTACAATCTCCTTTTTACCTAATTGGAATATAACTTGAAAAGTTAGAGATTTCATGCAGCTCTAGTGTAAATGAACATAGCCACTATGATTCAAATTCAGTCAGTAAAAGTCAAAATGGTTTCTTTTATCCTATTTACAGTAGCACAGGCTATGGGATGCAAATCATGAGAATTTATGTCATCTAGAATTTATTCAGAAGGAACACGATCATTTTTATTCCCCTGGCCTGGATGGGGACCTAAAGAAATGGAGGGCGGGGGAAAAGCCGCAGTTGGCGGCGACCTAGAAAATACCGTCGAGGAGGACAGGGCAGCGGTGCGCGCAGAGCCCGCACCAGCCCTGGCCATCGGGTGTCCCGTCCGCTGGCACTGGCTGCCTTGTCAGGGCTGTTCCGCACCCGATCCATTTACAGTTGAGGTTTCTGCCCTTCATCAAAAACTTTCACAAGCTTTTAAAAAATGCTTATAGTTTGTAAAACGTCAAATGGCATTTAAAAGTTTACAATGAAACGCAGGAGCCCCACGCTCCCTCCCTCCTCACCTCCCAGGGAAAGCCCTTTAAATTCTTCCTGCTGCTTTTTTTTTTCCCTGGTAATTACCTCCATAATTCTAGTTCACCTGTGTGCACACTGCCATCTGCTCATTTGCTGTCGTCCGCGTTCTCTGTCAACTTTGTGGAGCTCCTTACCTCCTCCCCCTTCGCGGTAGGCACAACACGCACACTTACTGAAATCATTAGTTTGGTTATTATGGCCATGCAAATCCTTCGCAGGGTCCACATGATCCCGTGCTTTCTCTCTGATCCTTCCCACCCCCCTACCCCTGTGACACAGGGTCCCCTCGATTGTGGCAGCAGGTACAGTCCACTCCTGCCCCAGGGCCCAGCACTATCTGTTGTTTCCAGGACAATTTTCCTTTACTTGGGCCTCCGCTCAAATGGCTCTTTATTCTCTGGCTACTGTATGTAAAATAGCCGACGGGCCCCCTAAAAATCCTCTGTGCTCTCCTATTCATCCCTCCCTTCTCCCCTCTGCCCTGGCAACCACTGATCTTTTTATTGTCTCCATAGTTTTGCCTTTTCCAGAATGTCCTCTGTACCTGGAATTATACGGTAGGTAGCCTCTTCAGGTTGGTTCATCTCTTCATAACATGAATTTACATTTCCTCCATGTTGGGGTTTGTTTTTTTTTTTTTTTTTTTTGATGACTTGATAGCTTATTTATTTTTAGCACCAATAATATTCTGTTGTCTGGATATACCACAGTTTATCCATTCACCTACTGAAAGGCATCTTGGTTGCTTCCACGAATCAGCAATTATGAATAAAGCTGTTATAAAGATCTGTGTATAGACATGCCCACAGGTTTTTGTGTGGACATGAGTTTTTACTCCTTTGGGTAAATAGCAAGGATTGCGGCTGCTGGATCTTATGGTAAGAATATGTTTTGCAGGAACTGCCAAATTGTCTTCCAAAGTGGCTGTAGTGTTTTGCATTCCCACCAGTGTGGACGAAAAGGGGCCACATATTAACCTGGCAGGCCTCCCCTGCAAACTCAGAGACTGAAAATAACCACTGCAAAGGACGGTCTGAAATTAAAACTTACCAACTAAAAGCAGGTCATGGCAGGTAGGCCTGTCCTAGGCCAGTACTTTTCCCTAACAAAGGTCAATCTTTACCTTATCTGAGCCTGACTGTTGTATTTTTGCATCTATGATAACAGACCTTTGGAATGTCAAGGTAACTTCCCTTTTCCCCAGATCCCTTGGGCACAACCACCACACCAGAGCTGAGACCACACATCCTCTCGTCGTTGTTGTTACCATGTTAATTGCTGGCTGTTAACTATCCTTTACCCACCTACGTAAAAGAAGTATATGCCTGTCACTTTACCTTTTATCCAATCTCGCTTTGCTGTCTCCTGCCTCCCCTTGTCTATCACCAGTGGACTTCACGTAACCCCCTTTCGTCTCCTCCTTTGATTGTACCGTATCAAACAAGGTGCTGAACTGCCATTCTCCAGAGCATTACCTCAAGTCGTTGAGGTTTTGCTCCCCAGCAGTTGTTGTCAGTTTGGCTCAAATAAACTCACAGGAATTCTCTGTAGGTTCGCATGTCTCTTACATGGACATTAGCGGTGTATCAGACTTTGTGGTGCTCCACGTTCTCACCACCGCTTGGCGTTGTTAGTGTTCGGGATTTTGGTAATTCTACTAGGTGTGTAGTGGCATCTTGCTGTTTTAATTTGCATTTCCCTATTGACATATAATGTGGAGCCTCGCTTCACATGCTTATACTTGTGTATCTTCTTTGGTAAAGTGTTAAGGTCTTTTGCCCATTTTTAAATCAGATTGTTTTCTAATGAAGTTTTAAGAGTTCTTTCTTCTGGACAACAATCCTTTATCAGATGTGTCTTTTCTAAATATTTCCTGTTAGCCTGTGGCTTATCCTCTAATTTTTGATTTTTAGATTTTATTTAATTATTTTTAGAGAGAGGGGAAAGGAGAGAGAGAGGAGGAAGAGAAACATTGATGTGCAAGAGATCCATCCGTCAGTTGTCTTTTGCACCCCCAACTGGGGACCCGGCCTGCAACCTAGGTGTGTGCCCATAGTTGCTTTGAGTTAAGGCTGGTAACCAAGAAGGCTAACAGTTGGGTCAAATTTTCATTTCATGTCTCAAGAGACCTCTAGGAAAGGAATGTAATTTGAGTAAGATACTTGACGTGGGAGTCGAACCAGTGACCTTTCGGTTCACCAGCTGGTCCTCAATCCACTGAGCCACCCAGCCAGGGCTGTCTTCTCATTTTATTGATTTTTCCCTTTTTGCAGAGCAGAAAATTTAATTTTAAGTAAGCCCAACTTATTTTTTTTTTCATGGATCGTGTCTTTGCTGTTTTATCTAAAAAGGAATCACCATACCTAAGTGTGTCTAGGTTTTCTATGTTATTTCTAGAAGTTTTATAGTTTTGCATACTACATTTAAATGAATGGTCCATTTTGAGTTAATTTTTGTGGTCAACATAAAAAAAAATTCCTCTCAAGGTCAGGCCTGTTATACTCCTTTGTCTTTCTAGCTGGGAGTGCAGAAAAACCAGCTTTGCAAATCCTCTGTGCCCTTCCCTGTTTTTTCTGGGAAGCACCTCCCTAAATACCCGCAGAAGCCAAACCTGCCTCGGGGTCTGTACCTGGCCCCACCCTTCCCTCTCATCTGATTTAAAATCACGTCCCTAGGGCCTGCATCCTTTCTTTCAAAACTACTTTTGTATTAACTTATGCTACTTGGAGGCTGAGTACCCTGATTTCCTAAGGGAGAGGAATGAGGGAGGTAGATTTCTTCCGTAATTAATTATTAGCCTAGTTTATTAGATTGGCTACATTATACAACATGTGGTAGAGATATAGGATAGGTCAGTTTTTATGAGAAGGCACAAGGCCATAAATAACCTCAAATGAACAATAAAAAGTTAGACTTTGGCCGTGGTTGGGTAGCTAAGTTGCTTAGGGCGTTGTCCTGCTACGCCAAGGTTGCGGGTTTCATCTCCTGTCGGGGCACAGAAAAGAACCAGCCACTGACTGCACAAATGGGTGGAACAACAGACTGATGTTGCTCTCTCTCTCAACAAAATACGTAACGAAAATAAATTTAAAAACTTAAACTTCTAATAATTTGGACACCAACATTGAAATACGCTAAGCCCTTGAGACCTCTAGCTTTAAAAAATAACTTTAAAAAGCAGTCACTGAAGGAATGAGCAGCCTAGTATACACAGAATGGTGTGCACGTTACACTATAAAATATATTATTCTAAAACCCACAGGTAGGAAAACAAGGTGCTCCTGCAAAGACAAACCTCCTTTTAAATTTTAATATATTTACTCTTTTTTGATATCACATGAGACAGAATGAGAGTGTGAAGGGAGGATTAAATATTTTGGAGAGGTAGTTGCTTTAAGTTAAGGCTAGTAACCAAGAAGG